AGTGACAACGCATTGGTGGAGGCCCGAGAGCACAAGACAGAAGGGAGAGGGAGAGGGATAGGATAGGGATCAAGAGAGAAGGGTGAAAGGGCCCTATGACGGCATGGGACCAAAGGAGAAGGCATCTAGAAAGGCGGGCGTGGCGGGCTGGGAGCCGTGGCAGGGAGTGGCAGTGGCAGTGGTTGGTGGTGGTGGTCCATGACACACGGGCGCGTTGTGGACAGAGTGAAGCAAGCAAGCAAGCCCAGCCTCGTCAGCAGGGCCCTCCTCACAAACACGCGACCGCTTATGTTATCCGCGCACGGCCCTCAGTCTTGTCGACGACGCTTTGAGACGCCGGGAAGGCTCAGCCGGGCGGCGATTGGCTGTTTCACCCCCAGAGAGTGGGGGCGCCGGCTCTGTCTCGTTGCATCCCCTTTCGCATCCACCGCACAAGACTCATCCCAGAGAAGCAATGTGCAATTGCTTCACTTCGCCCGACATGTGCTCCAGACTTGCGCCGAAAAGGGCCACGTACTCGCTGGGTGCCCGTCTGGCCCGTCCGTTGCCCCGTGAATGCATCATCGAGCCCATGGCCAAGCGTAGACGTCAGTCGATGGTGATGCTGAAGGACCATGACTTTGCGAGTTAAATATATATGTCCCAACTATCGGTCCACTGTCACAACTACTGATACTCCCGCTGCACCGCTGCTCGACAAACCCAAAAGCCGCCTTTGTCAATCTTAAAGTCTCAGACATAGTCTTGTCCCCTCCCCATTCATAAACACTCTTACGCCCGCCCAAATCAGGACATTCGCATCCATCACCACTTACAATACTTTACTACTATTACACTACCACTACCATTTCACTCACCCCATCCCAACATCAACCACCACCACCACCACCACCACCAACAACAACAACAACAATCACAATCACAACCATGCTCTTCGCCACAAACAAGCCCAAGATGCCCGATGGCAGCGGCCCCCCTGGAGATGGTGGCAGTAAGTTGCAGCCGCACCCCCCTTCCAAAAAATAAAATAAAATAAAGTCCTTCGTGGTCCTTAGTTCCAGTGACTGACATGGTGCCTCAGGAAAACCAATTCCCCATTGGGAAAAATGAATGGATGGCTGCGCCACCATGCCCAATCAACTCCCCCAATTACCCTGCACCTCAGCACGCCCATCATATGTTTTGTCTCAGCAAGCGACTTCCATTTCCTCGTCACCACCACTACCATCACCACCACCACCATCTTGTTGCGCGCGCTTTTGCGGTTTGCAGGGCATTCCGCTAGTCCGCCCTGGATGCGTATCCCACGACGACATGGTCCTCCGGGGCGCAGCACTTTGCCGCCCAATTCGGAAAGTGCTGCTTGTGCTGCTACAATGGGCTGTGTCAGGGTCCGGTGACCGAATCCGCCGTCATTGCAGCAACTCGACTCAAAACTCGCTCTTCGTCGCTCGCCGGAGCACTTGGGGGCTGCCCGCTCCCTACTTATCAACGGGGCCAAACTCGCAGAGTGCCTCGAGTCTGCCGTGTCTGCCACGGCTCAGTGGCTTTGCTGCGGCTGTGCACCATTTGGGGGCCGCCGCTTGCACCAGCCCAGGCAACGAACCTTGGTTCACCATTCACACGCCCCACCCAGCGCCCTTTCTGCCTGCGAGTATTGCCTTAGCACACGATGCGCACTTCGACGCCGGCGCTTTTGCGCAGCACTCCCGGTCGACTAAACCAGTCACCCTCGGTGTGACTGCATTCTGAGTCTTCCAGAATGCCGCTACTCGACTTTGCAGCCTGGTGGTCGCCTTGTTCGTCAGGGCACCCGCCAATCACCGCCCGCCCTCCTTCCCGCACAGGGCGCAGTCTATCGTCCTTCGCAAGTCCAATTCCATCACCTGGGGCGGAATGCCATATGGTCCTCTGCGTCACCGCCTGGAGAAGGCAGTCATTGCCTGTTTTTGTAGGCTGCTGGTTTTATGACAGGCCTCAGGATTTCCATGCTCTTTATATTCCCTTTGTACCTTCGATAGACTGTATATTACTACTACCATCATCACATCACTACAATACAAATATTAATACTACACACACATCTTCACACTCAAGCTTGAACACACACATCATCATCATCATCACTATGAGACTTGACATGCAAACTCTCAACCTCTCCTACGGCGACCCCCAACCCAGAGACGGAGGAGCTCCTCATCCAGGTGCTCGACCAAGACAATCTTCAGCAATGCTGTGCTTCATGGCCGGTGACGGCCCTCAGCCCCGAGATGGAGGTTAAATGCCACCAAGACTCTTCTGTCCGAGTACGTCCGGCTCTCTAGCAACATTACCACCACCAACGCATTCTAACATGCTTCAGTTTACACATCCAATACTTCCTCCAATTGGACCATCCGATTCCATTGCATTTGTCAATGGCACCGCACCAGCGTAAAAAGACCTACCTACCAACACCTCTTACACGCACTGTACAACAACAACTCTTTTTTTCCCTGTTATTTGAGCGATTAGATTTCCGGCAACGGCTTGTCACACCAACCTGTACATTGGAATACATCTTCGGCGTTTGGGCTTTTCTTGTTATCTTTTGCGAAACACAGACGCGAGGGTATATTTGGGTATTTGAAGCAGTCTCTTTTGGGATGCATAGACGGCGTTGTCATTTGAAGAAGCGAGGGCGATCACCTCGCACGGGATATGCATCGCTAAGATTTTAGCCGAGTTGATTGGCAGTTTCATGAAGTTTGGAGAAGCGTTTTTTTTCCTATACTGTACTACTATAGCTTCCGGCGTCGTTGGCCGAATAGTTCAAGAACGGTTTGCGTAACCGCTAGAACAATACAAAACATACAGCTTGAAACATGCTACCGTCGATCGTGTTGAAACTTTGTGCCCAGAGAAAACATGTAACACGCCACAATTTGAAGAGCAAGAATACAAATACACGTTGCGCAATGGAGCTGTCAAGTTTGAGGTGGAGGAGAAGAAGTGGAACCTTTGGTGCATCGTTCTCGCACTCGTTCCCCCCCTCCCCCCCCACGCTGCCGCCTACGGCCTCGGCACAGATGGTAAGTAATGGCATTACACGCCCACCTGCGTACGTATGCGTACATGCATGCTGGTTGCGTCACGCGCTGGCACTCAAGATAACAAGTACTCGCAATCATGTCACCGTCAAAAACCCCTAGTGCACCCTGATTTTTCTTTGTACCAAAGAAACGCTCTCCTATATCCACATTCGCTTGGTTTTGGAGCCGTGTCACCTCATGGCAGACTACAGCATTTCCCCGCCTGGGTCTGTCGACCCCGCCCGATGAATTAAAAACTTAGTCACAGAAACTCCAAAAAAGAGTCACGCACGCACAAGGCACGGAAGACTCGACAGGTCAGAGGGCAAGGCGCCGCCAAATCACACACGGTTGAGCACTCTTTGGCGCGTCGTGCCCAGGCCCGACAAGGCTACTGGTGCTAACGACAATGGTGCTCGAGAAAATATGGTCCTCCTGGCGCGAACCGGACCAGCACCCTCGAAAAGTCTTGAGTCGACGCCCAGCTTACTGCTTGCAAAGGAGCCAAGCGAGTGTGCAATATAAGACGTGCTAGGTGGCTTCCATCGCCTCATCCCTTGGGTCTTTGTTGATTTCCTTTTCTCTGCACCAGTCGCTACCTCGTCATCTTGCGACCGCCAATTCCACCTACGAACTCTCACATACACTCTCTGACCGAATCCTCCCTGAACATGGCAACTCGACCGACAGATAACCAGCGCGTGGCCTCACATGGACGCGGAGGTGCTGGTAAGTTGCTTATATTCTCCTGAGTCTTTGATAAGCACAATTTCGCAGCGTCAGCTTGACGGGCTGCTGAGTCTGAGAAATTTTACAAATAGCGCATCCAGGCTCTAATCAGTGTGGAAGCCTGGTGGTCGTATGCGGGCTGTCGCTTGCTGCATAGAGATTTTCTTGGTGCCTATACTGACCCCTTACAAGGCAACATTGCAAAAGACGACCCAACAAACTATCCCAAGCCAGAAGACCTCGTCACACCGACACTCAAGGGCGACACCTACACGACCGGTCGGGGCGGAACTGGAAACATGGCTCGCAACGACCCCGAGCGCCCTGAGATTGCGCGCGCTGCTCAAGACGTCGAGGGCTCACCACAACCAGAGACTGCAGGCCCCAAACACTACGGCCGAGGAGGCGCAGCCAACGTCATCAGTAATGACACATCTGCACCGGGCAAGAGCGACGAAGCCAAACACGACGACAATGTTGCTGCAAAGGGTCTCCTGGGCAAGGGCAAGGATCTCTTGCATAAGCTGGGAAAGAAATAAACTTTTTTTGCCAAATGCCGCAGTCAGCATCAGTTGCGTGTCCCTTGAAAGCTTCAACTGCGGCTTTTGTTTGTTGACTTTTTGCATTTCACAATATACCCAGGGGGTTTTTGGCTATTCTCGATAAGTAATAGATGGGTTTATAAAAAAAAAGGAGTTCTGCTTTAGTTATTACCCCGAACGATCTACAAATCGCCTCACTATCGATGCACGATCGATGAATACATCAGCATGTTATCTGTTCAAATATGTCACGGCAATTGTTTCTTTTTTTTGTTCTTAAACCTTCCAAAGTCCACATAATACATAACACACGGATGCCCTTTTTTTATCCCAAAACGGAGACCCACTTATGCATATTTGAATCGTGTTTGCATCGGCATGCTACTATTTTTGAGATGCAAGCCCTAAGTCTAGGGATCTTGGGGCCACGGCCACGGCCACGGCCACGGCCCCCAAGACCAAGAGCGAGGGCGCGGGGAGGCGGGGATTCATGACGCTTTACCCACTGTGGGGCAATAAATCCTACGTACTACCTGACGCATGCGCCGCCTTCATCCACTACACACGCCGCGTTATTAATGAATCGTCTTTTGTTAAGATGCCATCTGTCCACTTATAGTATCAATGCGTATTATACACTCATAACTTACCGAGTCGTATGAATACAAACCTGCCAGGACCAAGCACCCCTTCTCCTTCCGCAGAAGCGCTAGTAGTGCCTGCACGGTATATATGTACAGTCCAAGCGCGCTCAACTCCGATGGCCAGTCGATATTGCTATACCAATCTGGAAGTTTTCGTCATTGGCGTAAAGATCATCTGGGAGGACCAGCCACTCGGGCAAGGGTCTCTTCGGCAAAAGTGCCGTGGCTGCAGATGGGCGGTCGTCCGCCCCCCCCCAAAGCACGTTTGAAAGAAAGCTGTGCAAAAAGACACTAGTTGTTTCATAAGTTGACAAGTTGAGAAAATAACAACGGAAGAGCACTGACGAGTACTTTATTCAAGGGCCCTTCCTCATCCCCCCGTAACCTGGCTCTGGCCTCTTTTTTTTTCCAAACCCTCTCCGCGGTGTGCGAGTAGTTTTGCATACCGCTTTTGGTAGTTCAACTTGTCCACACACCCACTTTAACATTCAACCCGCCCATCGGTCAATGCCTGCTAAGGACACCCCCTCCGCCCGTGCATTTAGGATCAGGATTCGTGAAAGCAAGGGGGGCGTGTCTGCACACCCAGTCGCTCTTCTCCGAAAGATGCAGCGGCCGTCTATGTACATTGTCTTGGATTACGTCCCACCCGTCCTCTGACCTGAAAGGGAGGGGGAAATGTACAGTTCATGTAGGTGTGGTTCGCTTTTGCCACAATGATTACGCCTTGCCCCACGACGTGGTCTGTCCCAATTGGCTTGATACAGCATTTCTAGTCCTGCATCTGCGGGATCTTCGTAGCTACAGCAAGCAGGTGGGGTGGATAATGATGGTGGTGATGGTGGGGAGAGAGAGTGTATGTATGTGTGTGTAGTTGCGGCGCCTTCCGTCTGTTTGCTTTCTACATATGGTATATACCTTTTCCATTTTGCGCGGCCAACTTGCATTCGTGAATTATTACTATATTCCAACTTATTTGGAGTATCTTGGCTGTAAGATCGTTAAGCAACCATGTCGACTACTACAACAGCAGAAACTCAGTCTGAGACCTGGGTCCACTACCATGACGGCGGCGTACCGGGTCGACGGCGCGTACTCAAGGGAGCCGAAGCAAAGGAAACATTCAACGCCCTACCCAAGATTGACTTTCAGCGCATATACTCTGACAACATTGAAGACCGAAAAGAGCTAGCCAAGGAAGTAGGCGCAGCCTGTCGAGACGTTGGCTTCTTCTACGCCGTAAACCACGGCGTAGACGAACAAATACTCGACGACACTTTTGCCGCCCTGCAGAAATACTTTGCCCTCCCCACCGACGTCAAGATGGAGACGCATAACCAGAAGACGGAGAAGTTTAGAGGCTACGAGGCGTTTTTGGAGGGAAAACTGGATCCCAGTACACGAGGTGGTATGTCTCTCTCTCTCTCTCTCTCTAGTTACTCTTACTCCAAATTCTCACACATACACACTCCATAGATCTCAAAGAAGGCTTCCTAATGGGCGAAGACTTCACCGATCCGGAACAACTCTCCCTGCTCTCCTCCACCCCCTCCCCGCTCCCTCAAACCCCGCGCAACCAATGGCCCACACACCCCTCAGCCCTCTTCTGGCGACCCGCACTCTACCGCTACTACCGCGCCATGTTCACCTTCAGCAAGCGTCTCCTGCGCATCTTCGCCCTCGCCCTGTCCCTCCCCGAAACCCACTTTGACAAAATAACCTCGCACCCCATGACCAACGTCCGCGCCGTACATTATCCCCCCCAGCAACGCGAGTCCGACGTCGGAATAGGCGCGCACACGGATTTCTGCTGGTTCACCCTCGTATGCCAGTCACATACTTCCTATCCCGCACTCGAGGTGCTCAATGCAAATGGCATTTGGGTCCCCGTACACCACCAACCCCGCGCTTTTGTAGTTAATATTGCCGATTTTCTCAAGCTGGTCACGGGCGGGGAGTGGATGAGTACTGTGCATCGGGTTAGGAATACAGGGGGGAAGGAGAGGTATAGTATGCCGTTTTTCTTTAGTCCGGATGAGGATGCTAGGGTGAGTGTTTTGCCGCATTTGAGGAAGGAAGGCGGGGAGGAGGAGAGGGAGTGGGGGGTTGGAGAGTATTTTCAGGAGAGACTGGGGATTGATCGAAGGACGCATTTGGAAGGGCAAGGATGAGGATGACGAGGAGGAATGTCCCGTGATGGGTGATATGATGGAATTGGGTGTAGTATAGGTAAAGATTCAAGAAATTATCGCTGGAAAACGCAATGTCAGAAATATATCACATCTCAATTTTCATACTCAATCTCAATCAAGCATGTCCATTCCTCCTCTTCGCCTCTTCAAGCGCCATACGCAACCGCTCCTCCTTCTCACCATCTCCATTTCCCTTGTGCATTTTACTTTCAACCAAATCTCCTTTACGCATTTTACTCGCAACCAACGCCTTAATCGCCGCCTCATCACTTTCCAAAACTCCTACTCTCCTCGTATACTCATCCACCAACTTCTTCTCCGCCTCCTTCTTCTCAGCCTGCAACTCGCGCACCCGCGCCGCACCGCTCTTGTCGCTTTCGGCCTGCGCGATGGCAGCGTCTGCGGCAGCGCTGTTGAGTTCGATTTCAAGGTCGTTGAAGAGAGATAGCAGTGCCTTTGAAGAGTGCTTGAGGGCCTCGAGGGTGGAGTGGGCGTGGGATAGGGTATCTGGATCACCGGTGCTCTCGTCTAGGCGCTTGATAGCAGCGAGGATGTTGTCGATTTCGTCGTGTTTGGTGCTCAGAGCATGAACAACGATATCTTCTACAAAGTTGACGAGGTGGGTGATACGTCTTTCCTTTTCACGCTTGGCATTTAGGATAGCCTGCTTCTCTGCCGCTTCGAAATGCTTTTCTAGGTCTTTCATTGCGCTAATTTTGCCGGCGGCGTAGAGGGGCTGGATCTCGGTTTTCTTGTAGAGGCGGTCACGCTCGGCGACGATGCGGACGATGCCCTCGTGCCGCTTTTCGGCTTGCTTGTGTATGTCTTCTAGGAGCTCGAGACAGTCTTCGGTGCTGGGGGGATCGCCACCTTCGAGACTCTTGATGCCGGACACAGAAGTTTGGAGTAGATGTTGGGCCTCGTCGTATAGATCCATCAGCTGCTTGATTTCTGCTTGAAGTCCGTTATAGACTGGGTTGAACACGGTCTCCATGTAGCTCTTGTATTCCTCTTGCACCTCTTGTGTTTTAAGCTCTACTTCCTTCTTCTTGAATTCTTCTTCTAATTGTTTCATTTCCGCATACGAGATTTCATCATTGTTGAATAAGTCGTCATTGTGCTCCTCGTTCTCTTCCTGGCGCTTTCGACGTGCATCGTCATTTTTCCGCCGGTTGAGAGATGTTGTCTTTTCCCATGTGCCCGTAAGCTCTTTCATCTTGACCAGCCCATTTCCTACACCTAATAGGTTGGCCCTGAGCTTCTGAATTCGATGGCTAGGTTTGCTCTCAAGCTGTCGTGGGAGAAGTCCGGCGAGGTATTTGTTCGGATCGTTTTTGTGCGGAGGTGCGACTGAGGTCGGGCTATGTGGTTTTATATTCAATGGAAGAATAGAGTCTTCGCTCTCATTATGGGGAGAATTGTTTGCAGATGCATGAGCATCCGGCTGACCCGCTCCAAAGAAGATCTCATCATGACCCCTATGAAGGCCCGATGACGAAGCTCCGCTTGGTGTGTTCATGAAAGACATCGTTTGCCTATGTCGCAAGGGCAGGGGGTCTTCAGGGTTTCTGTTCGGCGGCACGTAGGCCTTATATTGTGATTGTAACGGTTCTTCAGGATGAGACTGAATTGGTGTTTTGTTCATGTCATCATCGATTGAGCTCGTTGGGGTCAGAATAGTGGTGGATTGCACAGAGGGTGCAGTTTGGGGCTGCATCTGCGTAATGTCCATGAGAGGTAATGTTGGTTTCCGCGATATGATGGGCCTTCCACCTGGACTATAATCATAGTCATCATGTTGCGCTACGTCCGGCAGGACTTGTACTTTCAGATCCCGTCTTACACCAGAGCTTTTGGAGTTGCTGTGGGATTCCGAAACCTGCTCAGGTTGTATCGAAGCCGCCGGTTCGACTGCTGGATCTTGGGGCGGGGCGTCGAAAAGTGGGATTCCTCTGAAACTCGCCTCAGCTTTCACGAAAGCCTTGAATATCTTAATCTTTTCCTGGACCTGTGGTTCCATTGCCTCACCACGAAGCATAGCGATGTACCTCTCTAATGAGCCTACATACCACGGGTCAAGGTCTGGAATGAGATCTGCTGCAGTTGGCTTCGGCAGCTCCTTCGTCTTTTCATCTTCGAGCTGGCGTCTCAGCTCGGCAATAGTACTGTCGCGCTCTTCGAGATTATTATCCTTCCCCTCCATATCTTCTTTCAGTCTGTCGATAGTTAGACCTTTTTCTTTGACCACGGCCTCAGAGTTAGCATTAGCTTGGTCTGCTGTTATCTTCATGTTCTCAATTTGCGCCAACAAAACATCCCTCTCATCCGCTGCATGGATATTTGCGGCGTCGAACTCAGATTCCAATTTCTCTCGTTCAGCCTTGAAGGTCTCGGACTCGGTGCGGCGCTGATCAATCTGCTGTTGCAACTCTGCGCGCAATTGATCGATGAGTTCGTCTTTTGCCTTGAGTTCTGCAGCATAAGCGGTACTAGCAGGGCTCGCCAGACCAAAGGGAATACCACCCGGTTGCCCTTCGTGCAAGAATTTTGATTGAATTGGGGTATGCTGATTCGAAGGCGATGACGCTCCTTTGAACTGATCTCGGGGATGTCGTGAACCCTCTGTGGGTTTAGGAGTAGTTCTCAAGGGCGCTACGATCGCATCTTCCACGACAAAACCCTCAGGGGTGGAACTTGGTGAACGTCGTTCGCTAGGGTGTGCCACGACAGAAGGAGGTGTAGGCATGTATCTCTCTACTGAATCACTTGATCCTGGATGTGTGGGGTATACTGCAGGACTTGGGAAGCCGTGTGTTGATGGAGGGGATGGAACGTGTGCTGGCAGTTCAATGCTATCTGGTTGGGCAATCTCAGTCCCTTTTCTCTCCGGCTTCGTACGAAAAAGGTCTTCATCATCAATCTCCTCACTACCACCCAAGTGCTCCCAATCCGAAGGGCCGCCAGCGGCCAATGCACTGAATGTTGACTTTTCGTCACGCGGTGGAGGTGGTGTTGAAAACTTTTGTATCGTGGGTTTTGGAGACGCCGTTTTGCTTTCGGCGCGTTGGGCACAATATTTGGCGAAAGCAACGGAGTTTATAGAGTCGGCACGGCTATAGCGCGGATGCTGCCCAGAGGGGTAGCTAAGACTGGGTCGATTGGATATTGGAGATACTGGCTGGCTATTTGGACGTGATACATAGGGGCTTGATGAGACAGTGTTAGTCTGGTTAGATGAATTGGACTCCTGAGCAGGTTGATTTGGCACTTGAGAATACTGCTGGTTGAGGTTTGAGGCTTGGGTTGGCTGTGGTGTCTGTGGAGCTTCATAAGATGTTTGTGCAACGTGATGATTGTAAGCTGAATCTGGAGGCGGCGGAGGCTGCCACTGATTTTGAGGCTGTGTCTGTTGTGGAAAGGAACTGGCCTGCTGGTCATAAGAAGTTTGTCCGTACGTCGGCGGTTGTGGTTGCTGATGATATTGACTTGGTAGATGCTGTGTCTGCGCAAATGACTGTTGCTGCTGCTGGCTAGCAGGGACGGCTTGGCCTTGATATGGTTGCTGTTGGTAGCCATGCTGCTGTGGTGGGAACTGAGTTGATGTTTGTTGCGATTGTACAGGTGTCTGTGTCTGCGGTGGGTACTGGGTCTGTGCTTGATGTCCATAGTGATGGTACTGGGGTGGTTGATTTTGCGCAGCTTGTCCCGTCTGCTGTCCAACGCGCGGCGGAAGTGGTGGAGGTTGCCCTGCTTGATAGGAAGATTGTGTACTCTGGTTTCCCTGTCCGTAAGGATTCTGCTCCACAGCCGGCCTCGTGTAAGTGAACTGGTTTGTATCTCCCTGGAGCGGTTGTTGTTGTGTCTGCTGCCATGTCGGGGCATTCGGCGGAGGAGGGCCATGAATACTATTTGCTAGATTGGGATTAGGTGGCATGTACTCTTGGGCGCTTGTTCCATGTATAGATGGCGGGGCATATGCTGGCTGCTGTTCGTTTGGAATAACATTTGCATGGGCTTGCTGAGAAGCCGCGGGTGGAGCACTTGGGGTTGAGGGTGTCTGAATTGCACCATATATCGAACTTGGTCTTCCCGCATGCGGTGGCGGAGGAGCTACGTATGGGTATATCTGTTGTGGAGGACCCTGATTGGGGTATCCTCCCTGTTGGGGTTGAGGTGTGAAGTTGGCATGCTGCTGAGGCTGCTGGGCCCAATTCTGCTGTTGCTGCTGCTGCTGCTGCTCCTGTCGTTGCATTGCCGCCGCAAAGCCGTATGGTTTTGGGGGAGGAGGGGGAGGCACATCTTGTTGCTGAGCATACGACTGCCGCTGTGCGCCTGATATCGTCCCATATGTGCCCGGATTGTATCCCCCCATAGTCTGCGGTTGCGATTGGTTCCATGGGCTCGACGTCTGAGTTGGGGTGGGCGTGGATGGAGTCCATTGACCGTGCGATTGGGGAGTAACAGACTGGTATCCTTGGGAAGCTGTGGGATCATCTGTTAGCTCTTGCTATGGGCATTTGGTAGCTTCGGTCTGCATGTTCATACCTCCATAGCCCGGTGGGGGCGGCGGTACTGGCGGGGGCGCGCTCTGCTGGCCTGCGAAGCCCGTCGCGCTTCCTGGCTGTTGGTAGCCTGGTGCTTGTCCGTAATTCTGCATGGCGATGTCTTCACCGAGATTGCGCGCTTCAACGAGAGCTGAGGGGTCTGCGTGTATGATTAAGCTCGCGACAAGTGTAGCACACAAAGGAGCGCACAGGAGGTACTAGCAATGGATCACAAAGACAGCGGACAATGATAAGATGGCATTAATGAGTCGGGTAGATACAGAAAAGCAAAACGACAGGTTCTCCAAATCCATGCTTCGTATGCATGAGGCGCAAGGCCGCCTACTAGAGTCAAAATGTACGCAAAGTGGCATGGTGTCGCAGCCACGACATATGGTTCGCTCGGCCTCAGCCTTGCCGCTTTTGGCACTACCA